ATCTGCCCATGTTGTTACTTGAAATGGGCACTTGACTGTCAAACATCCTCAGGAAGGGGGGGAGATGGATCGCTAAATACTGTTCCCTGGAACTCCCACCAGACACCTTTACCTCACAATGTTTTGCAGCTGAGAGTTTTTAGGCAAACCTCACATCCAGATGAATTGTAGCATTTATTTCGGCCCTTTACCAAGTTCTCTGTCTTTTTCACCAAACAACAAACATGTACAAAGTTCTGTTTCTGCAACCAATTAAACAGTGGGCCCTAACAGTTCAGCAGAAACCAGAAATTTACCGATGTGCACACACACACACATACAGAGTGGCATTTAGTCAGACGGTTGTCCTAGCAACAGCCGCAGACTTCAGGAGAGCCTAGAAAGACTGAAATTAGAAACAGCAACTTCCAAGATTTCCAACACTTTAAATCAAGAGGAAAACTTTGTGACTTAGAATTCAAATTTTCTTGGATACTGTGCTTCAGCTACAGAGGGCAGAGAATTTCCCTGCAAAGATATGAAAGACCACTCTGCTTTTCTAGGCATGTCAGCAGGGAATCAAGTCAAACATCAGAGCCTGAATCCTACTCCCCCATTCTGCATGCACAGAGTTCCTCAGTATTCATGGTGGGCTTTTTCAGAGCGTGTACAAGAAAATTCCGGACACCTCGTTACACAAACATAGGCACCACTGAAAACAACACAAGTGATCTCTGGCTTATGGGACAGGCAGGCCAAGGAATGTCCGAAGTCCTTGTGTGGGTCTGTGTGTTCTGCCTGCAGTGAACAGGATACTGGCCAAGGGAAGAAGAAGGGGGGGCGGGAAAGGGGGAACAAGGCCTACCTTGGAGTGGCCTTTCCTAGAGGACAATTCTGCAAGGTTTCCAGTGGCACAGAAAACTATGTGAGGCAACTAATCGTAAATATTGATCCGCAAAAACTGGAAGTAGAAGATATGTTTTTCTGAGCAAGTCACATGTATGATCCCAACAGTGTACAAAGGACACCACTAAAGCTTCACCAGCCAGTTTCTTTCCCAGCATGTGAAACTATTATGTACTAGTTAGAGGTTTGCTATCCCAATGCTTTGCCAAGTCAGCTGGAATCAGAGTAAAAGAGGTCAGCCCTAGATGCTATAGTGCAAGGATTCACCTCCAGTCGGCACAAATATTAACATCCAAATCGCAAAGTGCACTGAAACCACAAAAAGCAGAAACCATCTACTCCACGGCTGCTTCTCAGCTGGTAAGGGCCACAAACACGGGGGCAGAGCTGTGTTACACGAAGCAGCACTGGTGTGCAGCAGCGTTCTTCTGCCCTTAGTCATTTTGAAAGGAGTGATGAAAAGAAACCCAGATTCAAATCCACTAAATTCAGGAAGAAGGCCTTGTATGCCAGGACAACAGCTCTCCTAGCTGCCCCCATGCAACTCAACTTGATTATGTTTCGTCCAGACAGAAGAAAATAGCACTTAATTCAACCAGGGCTTAACTCAGAACATCTGTTCATATCAATTCTCAACCTTGGAATAGGTAATACCAGTGTACTTCTGAATATGTGTGAAGTACGTTTTTTCTACGAAACTGCAAAACTATCTCGCAAACATTGGCCGAATGCAGGCAGGCTTCAGTTCAAGACCCTCCCTCAACTGAAGTGACAGTTCCGCTACCCTCAGGGCTTAAGAGAAGAGAGGGGTACCTTGAATATTATTTCATAAGCCTACAGCTGGTACATCCATACTACAATGATTAATGTTCGGAGCGGCAGACTGCACATGGCTCCTTCACTTCTGATGCAAGGAGGAGCCACACCAAAAATTCTCTCCATCCAATCTTGAGTTTCTGACATTAATATTTTTTATTGATTTATTTGATTTATATCCCACCCATCTGGTCTGGTCGACCACTCACATGAAAAGAACAAGTGTACCCAATGCTCCCATCAATGGCTTCTAGAATATGTCAATACGAAGATATAGGGATTATCCATCACACAAGAGTCCCTAGGAAGGTAAGCCAGTGTCAAAAAGGTTTACCTGAAAGCTGGCTGTATAGCTCAGTGAGTTAGGTATCTGGCTGAAGAGCCAGAGGTTGGAAGAACGATTCCCCACAGTGCCTCCTGCGAGTAGAGTCAGCCTATGTGGCCTTGGGCAAGCTTGGGCAATCCCAGGATGTCCCCAGAAGAAGAGAATGGTAAGCCTCTTCTTACTTCCTGTTTAGAAAACCCTGGAAAGGGTCACCCTAAGTCAGGACTCACTTGATGGCACACGATTATTATTATTACGAAGCCTGTGAGCAAAAGTGGCAAAGCCAGACTGAAACACCCAATTTATCTGTCATTGCAGGGATGGGCTGTAAAGAATGGGGACCTGCTTGTTCATGCATTTGGTGGGCATGGCTGATACCACCTGGGAAGCCAATTACATTAAGCTGTACCACACAGATCTGCAGCTTGAGTGGAAAGCCCCTGGTGTTTCATGACTACACTACCTTGACACTGATGTTAATCACAACCAGATGAAGGGGTTTTCAGGTGATTCTCATACAGCAAAGAACAGCTGGGAAGAGTTACTACAGTACTACCAGAATCTCCCAGCCAGCATGGCCACTAGCTTCAAAAAAAAAAAAAAAAAGAGGTAACTCTTCCATGTCCTGAACAAGTTATCATTGACACAAGTTGGAATTACTTTTCCCCAGTTTATTTATTAACATCCCTTTAGGTTCTAAAGAAAGACACAAAACAGAACTTACCCCTGTGCTCTGTCTCACCACCAATACTGAAGCCAAGTTTCTCAAACAAGTTGTGGAACTTTCCCTGCCTTATAATTTATGGTCTCCTTCAACAGCACCACCTGAAAAGCTCTGTGCTGCTTCCAGGGGCTTTTACCTGGAGCTTTATGGCAGCACTGGTGAATCTTCAGCCTTCCAGGCATTTTGGCCTACACTTCCTAGCCATCCTGCCCCGCAAAAACAAGAGTAATGGATTGTGGGCACTGTTGTTCAAAACATTTGGAGGACCAACATTTCCCCATCCCTGATTTACAAGCTAGGCCGTATTTTGTATTTCACTGTCTTATGTTGGCTGGGTTCTTTTGAACTAGTAGTGTGCAAGTGGCATTGTGGTTTTAACAATTTGTTATATCCAAAGTTGTGTACTGTTCTATTAAGGGACACGACTAAACGACTAAATACACACACGTCTTATGTTGGCTGGGTTCTTTTAAACTGGTTCTGTGCAAGTGGCATTGTGGTTTTAACAATTTGTTATATCCAAAGTTGTGTACTGTTCTATTAAGTTGCTCTGAAAAGACTTCAGTCTTGGGAAGCTGTTTTAGAAGTATTTGTAATAAATCTACACAACAGGATATTTTCCCCTTACCATTCACAGGCGAGCAGAGCAGCCAGCTGCAATGACATTAGGAACCAGAAGCCAAGGGAAGTTATGGGAGAGGATGGAGCGGCTTCTTCATGCAAACTTCGAGCCTAGACTATTGTCATGTTTGTAACCCAGAAACCAGACTTATAAAACTCCTCCCGTTACACACTTGTCATAAGTACACTTGCTTAGGGAAAAGCTCACCAATACCCAAATGAGTGTTGCTGACAAAGCTTCTCACTCCATAGTAGTTTGTCAGCTAGGTCTAAGCTAGGGCGAGAACTATGCTGGAGATTCAAAAAGTCGGCAGGGAGGTCCAGGCCAACTACAATTTGAGCTGCGAAACCAGTTTCTAGGACCGGCACGAAATCATCTGTCCATGATACTTCCAAAAATCATTCTTGCACATTCCTGCCTTGGAGGTCAGAGAGAAGTCAACATAGATGCCACGAAACAAGTGGCGCACTAAGAGGTAAGGGATACACTTCCCCTAAACCATCCTAAAGAACAACGGTTTTATGGCAGCAATATTGAATTGTGTGTGTATTGAAGTCAACATAGATGCCACGAAACAAGTGACGCACTAAGAGGTAAGAGATACACTTCCCCTAAACCTTCCTAAAGAACAACAGTTTTATGGCAGCAATATTGGATTGTGTGTATTTTTTTAAGCCTCTTATTGTAAGCTGCCTTGCAAAAGCTTGCTTTGAAAGGCAAAACAGGAATAAACCAATGAAGAAAACCAATACCATATCATCCTCGGGGTCATGTGCAGACAACCAATTCACACAAAGTGGTGTGAAAGGGGGGGGGGAAGCCTGGCATAAAGCCAAAGATTGCTTCAGCAAGCAGAAAGCTTGCTTGCAACACAGCGAACAGCATCTGGGAGAGTCCGGCAAGGTTGCCAGCGAAGAACAGCCGCGCTCTGTGCCAGGGTCTTCCATGCACGGAGGTCCCAGGAGTCGTGTGTTTCCCACAACACACGTAAAAGCTCCGCTTCAGCGTCACGGGGCCTGCACTTTAGGAGGCCAGCTGTCATTTAGGAAAAGAAAAAGCACGTTCCTGCCCTGAGGAGTAACTCGTAGCGTAAAGTGAACAACGTTGAGAGAGGGGGGACAAGAGAGGGCTATCCTGCCTAGGAGGCCAAGTTAAGCAATATTTAAAGAGGAAGTGCAACCACAAAGATAACCGTGTCGGGCGATGGTTTTAAAAATAATAACAAAAATTAAAAGGTATAGGTCCACCGCCAGGTCTCTCTGCAGACCGCGCCCCCCCTGCCTTTGGCGAAGAGTTCTGGAGCGCTCAGAAGCTTGCTCACTTTCGATTTTTTTTTTTTAATTGCAGAGTTCTGCCTATGGAAATTATTATTATTCTTGCTCCCCGACCCCACCGTGTTGCAGCACCTCTGCACTCACACGACCAGGCGCAGCTGCAACCGGAAAACCATCCCCGCGGCTCCCCGGAGGAAACCATCCTCAGAACTTAGCACCTCCGGGGCCGGCCTGCCTGCCTGCCTGCCTGCCTGCCCTTCGCCACAAAAAGAGGCTCCTCCCGTTCCCGCCGCCGCCACCCCGCCCGTCCCTCCCTTGCAGGCCCTCCAGGGAGCCCCGCTTGCCCTGACTTACCATGTCGGCGATGCTGCGAGTGCATCGTATGAACAAATTTTCTGCCACACCTTGATTGAAATTCCTATTTTATAGGATATAATGATAATGATGTCTAAATTAGCTCTCTAAGTGAAGTCTTGCTTCAAATCATCCACAAATCTAGAGCCGGAGGCCGCACGGGACCGGCCGCCGCTGGGTCTCTTCTCCTCTCGGCCCGGTCGAGGAGGCGGGGCAGCCGCGGAAAGCGCGCCCTCCCGCTTTGGCGGGGGCTCTTCAACGCCGAGAGCCACCGCCACCTGCCTTCCAGAGGGAGGAAAGCCGCGGCAGATGCAATTTCACCCGGAGAGAGAGAGAGAAACAAGGCGCGCAGGCTCCTCCCTCCTCCTCCTCCTCCTCCCCCTCCCCTTCTTTTTCCTCCTCCGCCGAAAGCGGGGAGCCGTGGGTGGGCGGGACCTGCCGCTCGCTCGCTGTCTCGGCCTCTTTTCCACAAGCGTTCCTGTTTTCTTGCGGTCTTCCTTTTATTTTGAATTTTGGGCCGCGACGGAAGACGCTGCTTTTATAATCTCTCTTTTTTTGTCACACAAATGGTCTCTCTCTCTTTCTCTCACGCCCCCATACCTCGTTTGCTAGAAGCAGCCCCTATTTTCAATTGCGAAAACAGGGACGATGTTGCTCCTGAGGAAACACACACATCTTTGCTGAAGGTCTGCTACAGCCCTGAGCTGAGGATGCGGATTTCAGAAGTATGCTGGGTTCACATTTGCGGAAAGGGGCCATTGCCTGCCTCTTTTAGGGCTCCTGGCACATAGAAAGAAGGCAGGCATGTGCGCCCACAGCTTCACAGGTGTGGCAGATGAACACCCTTTCAGCTGAAGGCTTGAGGGTCTGGATGGGGACCAGCCCTTGAGCCTTGCCCTTCCCTTCTGCCAAATACTTTTGGATATTCATATGTGCTGCCAAATTGTCTGACTTACAGAGACCTTATGAATGTGCGATCTCCAAAATGCACAGGTCTCAACAGCCCTGCTAGGGGCTTGTAAATTCAAGCTTGTGGATCCTTTCAGTCCATCTCATACAGTATTTGGTCTCCCTCTTTTCCTGCTGCCTCCCACCTTTCTCAGCATTAACGCCTGTTCCAGAAAATCCTGTCTTCTCACAGCCTCAGTTTCCTCATTTTTGCCTCCAGGGATACTTTCGGAGAACACATTAAATTTATTTATGTATTTACAAATAAATGAGAACAAACACTTACCAGTAACTGTGTTTTTTCCTCTTTAAAGCAATCAAAACTCATGCATCTGGTGTGTCAGTAAAAGCTGCTCCAAGAAGCCTCTCTCACCATGTGAGAGTAACTACTGGAGTACAGTAACACTATGAAGGAGGACATGTACAGTCTTGGAAACCAGGGCCTTAAATCCAGTCATTCAATGCCTCTGAAACAGACCTCTTGACTTTACAGAACGTAGCTAAGAGGGTTGTCAGATTAACATATAGCTTGCTATTTGGCTCTCTTTTGTTGTGGTTTGGTCTGCCCTGTTTTCTGGGGACCATGTATGTTTTCAGTCAGTGTGATCCATCTTGCCGCTTTTACAATCTACCCTACTTTTTTCCGGCACAGCATTGGGTCTGCAGTTTATTTTGTGCAATTTGTAAAGCTCCTAATTATCCATCCAGCTAGTTAATTCAAACCCAGATAGAACTGTGAGTGATGTTACCTGAGGTGCAGCTAGTCGTCCTGAGGTTAGACTACTGTAACATCCTCTATGCAGGGCTGCCCATGAAGCTGCTATGGAAACTTCAGCAGGTCCAGAATATGGAGACCAGATTACTAAGTGAAGTAAATAAATACCATCATATCTCCCCTGTTCTGGCTATCTTGCACTGGTTACCTGTTCATTTCCGTGCCAGCTTCAAGGTGATGATGTGACGTACGAGGCCCTAAAAGGTTTAGGACCTCAATACCTGGTAGAACGCCTTCTTCCAGTGAGATCTCCCCAACCTACTCAATCTTCCCAGGCCAGGCAGTTGAGAACTTTGAGAAGGGCCTGGAAAGAGAAGACCAGAAACTGGGCCTTCTCAGTGGTTGCTCCTCACCTTTGGCATAAACTCCCGTCTAAACCTTCACTGGGAATGTTTAAGAGATCTTTGAAAACATGGCTGTTTAGACAGGCTTTCCTGGATATCACATGGATAGAGTGCAGTGGAGCTTTCACTGCTCAAGTTATCTGCTCCACCACATTATCTTTATAAATTGTTATCTTTCTCTTAGGTTAAGTTGATTGATATGTTTAATTTGACTTATTGTGTTGTTTTTTATTATTTATTTATCTATCTATTTGTTTGTTTGTTTGTTTAATTTATATGCCGCCCACTCTAGAACTGCCTAGAGTGGCCTTGGTAGCCAGATGGGTAGTATAGAAATTGAATGAATGAATGAATGAATGAATGAATGAATGAATGAATAATATGACATATTCAGTAGGTTGTAACATTAAAGGAGGGGATCAAGAAAAACCCGCCTATATTTTTTATCTTTTTAAAATACTTTCCTAGCTGATGCAGCACGAGTCTAATCCATTGGAGATGTCTTTTGGTATAAAATGTATAGTATGTCTACCATGCTAGGTTGATGCATTGCTGTAGCGCAATGTCATTTACTTTATTTAACAAAAAGCAAGGAAGTCACTGTGACCTGTGGAATGACAGCTGCAAAAAAATAAAAAGGCAGGGCCGGGATGAGGGTGAACAAGCTGGAGCGATCAGAAGAGCTGTTGGGAGCCTTCTCATGGGAGAAGAAACATCTCCCGTATGAATGGAAGGATTGCTTAACTGTGAGATAAAACAGATTGTACCAAAACTAAGAACCTTTAAACTTTTAAAGCATCAACTGGATCACTCCAACTTGTTCCATCTGGTTGTGCCCTCAGGTTCCCATATATTCATTGGGTCTACTCTAGTTGGGCAGAACAGCTGGATTTAGGCCCGTATACAACATAATGTTATTGGGTAGGCTGGTACACATATCCATCATCATTCTTAGCAGGAAACCAATATCTTTGGTAGATCTTACGAGAATGCCCTTCCCAGCAATGTGTTCTTTTTGTACACATGCAACGATCAAGTCCATCACTCATTACTTTGACAGCTGGTTCAGTATTTAAGTGCATACAGGCCAGTGGTAGCAAGTCAAAGGATCTCACATCTGCTTCAGTGGCCCTTGGTGCCATCAAATTCCCTCTATACAAAAAAAGAAAGAAAGAAAGAAAAAGAAAGAAAGAAAGAAAGAAAGAAAGAAAGAAAGAAAGAAAGAAAGAAAGAAAGAAAGAAAGAAAGAAAGAAAGAAAGGCGAATTGTATTCCTCAGAAGCCTCAAGAAGCAGTGTTTAAACTTTTAAACAGTTTACAGAGCGTGCCCCTGTCAGTATTTATAAATATTTATTTAAAATATTTTTTACTTCACTTTTCTCCTTAAAAGAACCCAAGGGGGCTTACATCATTAATACACGTATTGTACATCAATTGTTTTTTTTTTTTTTTAAAAAAACTAAACGTGAGCTATCTGTTGGAGTGGGGGTGAGGTCAAAGCAGTCCCTGGAAGATCTTGCAGGCAGAAAATTGATCTCTTGGTCTACTGAGGTTTCTCACCTCATCCATACACATGTACAGGTTTTCACCTATTCTTACTAGTCATATCTGTGTATATGTGTGTTTGTGCACACACGTCTCTGCACATTTACTCCATCAAAACAAAGGAATATCCAACCTGCTTCTTATGTACTGGTAAAGCACAAGAGCCATATTTCGCTCCCCCAACACACACACATAGTGAAATCTGCATTAACTGTGATTCATTTCTCATTGTGAGCAGAGTCCCTAACATAACTGTGTGCGTGTGTTTGCGTGTTTCTTTATCTGTTTTTCGGCTTACTAATCTTTTCTGTCTCTTGTTTGCCTCCAATTATCCCTTCTAGGGATTGGCTGTGATACACATCATCCTTACGTTCACATTTGACACTAAATACACCAGAGAAAAAGCCTGTGCTTGCTTGATTCCAAATCCGAAGAGACTAGGAGCCATGTATTCTGAGATGTGCAAGCAGATTGACATCTCACTGAAGTGACTGAGAAGGCTTTGAGAAAGCTGCCAAGAGGGTTGCCAAGATCTTACTGGCAATGCTACGTATGATCAGATTACTAATATGTTGCTAGAACAGCCTCTACTTACCAGATTCTACTTGGGCTTCACTCATATCTTACTATGTTTCTGCTCGACTCCCAGTAGGTTTCATCCTTGCTTCACTCTCAAGCAACCCTAATTCGACCCAGGCTTCATCCGCATCAACAGCCTAAGTCAAAGTTCTGCCTGTCTTGACTTTTCCACTCACTCCATAAAAGGACACATCATTTTTTAAAAAATAAATCAAAATTGACAACTTTACATAGCTCCAGAAATAGACTCGTCAGAATTCTCTTGAGCCTGCTGTGCGCTGACAGTGGGATGGCACAGTATTGTATTAGCACATGGAAATTTGCATATTCATTAGGCACAGGTTGCAATGCCTTGGCAAGTGATTCTTTTCGTACCCTGAGAAAACTTCTCTGGCCTTACAATGTTGGTTTGTGAAATGATTGCATTGAAACGTTCTATCAAACTTTGCAAAATTAGACATGCCTTTTCAGTTATAACTGGAAGTAGCACTAGCCACAATACCCAGCTCCTCAGTCCTGAAACATTCCGCCCCCCCCCAAAAAGAAGGGTGTGGGTGTGTGAGCCTTTGCTTTCAAGCAGAAAGAAGTATTTATAATTACTGTATGCCCCCAAAGCACGGTGACTCCAATTGCTAATCTTCCCCTTTCTCTCCTATCTGAACTTCACTCCTAAGTAACTTGACTTAGCCACCACACTCCTGTATAGTGCATCACTAATAGACTGTGTTGAATTTAAACATGGGCTTTGAGGATGTCTGTATTTCTGAATAATAGACTTGAAACACAGTTCTCTCCAAAGTTACACAGTCTTTACCAGCACAGTT